GGTGCCATGTAGGCATTTTTGGCGCCGGAGGACTAAAAGTATAAAATTTTTTCACTTACGAGATTAGTTTATGACAAACTCCAGTTACGAAACTAAAATAATAAAGGAATCTAGTTAGTAGACTAAAAAATCAGTTTACTCTTTAATTAATTACAAAACATAAACTCCCTCGTCCCACATAGTTTGTTCTCATTTTCTATTTTTGTTTGTCCCACATAATTTGTCATTTTTTTTTTCGAAAATTGATTATACACTTTAATTATATCTTAAAATTTAAAATTTAAAATTTTTTTAATCTTAATTAAATTATTTAGTTATCTTAATCTTAATTTATAATTATTTTTATTAATATACTTCTTAATTACTTACTAATTATACTTTACCTAAATTCTCGTATCTACAGTAATATCCATCTTATCTAGGACCGAGGGAGTAATATCATACGACTCATTCAAAATTCTTTCATTTCTCTCTCTCATTTAAAAAATAAATATTTCTATCTAAATTTAAAACTTCACATCTTTAATAAAATTAAAGTTTGTTTGTTTAATGTTTTGATTTGAATTTTTTTATATAGAATATAAAGAATTGGGTCGATAATTTAATAAAATAATACTTTATGTCGAATGTTGATTTTTATAAGAATATAAAATATATATATATATATTGGGAATCACATTGAAAAAAATTTTGAAAAAAGAAATTCTAATCTACTACAAAATTTTGAATAATCTTTTAGAAAATAGACAGAGAAAGTAATTTATATTTTTTTGTTTTAATCAAATTATTAATTATATTAATTTTAATTTATAATTACTTTTATTAATATATCTTTTAAAAATTTATTAATTACATAATATTTAAAATTTTGTGTCCAAATAAAATGGGCAAATTAGACGGAATAGATGAAAAAGTAACTGGAAAAAGTTAGTAGATGAGTGTGGTATGGATAAACTTAGAAAGAACGTCGGCAGGCCGCAATATAATTAATGATGGCGTCGGTTGTGGATAATACGTCGGCTGTCGTTACTCCGCCGCCAAAAAAGCACAATCGTCTCGATTCATTCTAATTAAATAAATAGAAATAATAAATTAATAATAATTATTTTATTTTATTTTATTTTTTTTTTTTTTTAAAAAAGGAGGTCATCAGTCATCAAACACACATATCAACTACCATAATATTCTTATAATTTAATTTTAATTTGATTTGATTTAATTTTAATTAATAGTTCGTCTTATATAATTTGACTATATTTTTTATTTTTGTCCACCTCATTATAACTTATCATATCTATTTTTAGAAATATAATTATTTACTTTAATCACTTTTTAAATTTTTAATTTTATAATTTTCTTAATTTTAATTAAACTATTTATTTATCTTAATCTTAATTTATAATTATTTTTATTAATATATTTCTTAATTATCTACTAATTATATTTTACCTAAATTTTTGTATCTACGGCAATATGCCCAAAAATATCTGGGACGGAGAGAGTAAATTACTTTCTCTGTCTCATAACAAACTATTAATTTTTTCATTTTGGTCCGTCTCATAACAAAATATTTATTTATTTTTTCAGTAACTGTACTATCTACCTAACATTATAAATACCCCTACAACTTACAATATATTACACAAATGTCATTACATTTATATCACACCATACTAATAAGGTTATTTTTGTCATTTCTATATTATTTTTACTATATATCAATATAATATTAATATACCTTAAACTACGGGAAAAAAAAAAAAAAAAAAAGTTGAATTTTTATTTAAGGGACACGTAGGATGCATGCAATGTAATGTGCATGTGCGGACAACTTCATGCTGGAAAGTGTGTCTGTTACCGTCACCACCATTTGCTTATTCGTCTCTTCTTTTAGGATTTCCACACTTATTTATTTATTTATTTATTTAATATTTATATATATGTATATATGTATAATCACACTTTCCTAACCAAAAACCATTAATTAATTAAGCTTATAACTTAATTAGTTGGTTGGTTGGTTAGTTAGGCTCCATTCAGATATGGACTTTATTAATTACATCAACTTTTTTAAAAAATTATATTATTACTAGAGATTAAAAAATTATATTATTTATTACTAGTAACTTTTTCATGAAAAATAAAAAATAAAAAAATTAGATACTTATTTAATTTTACAAAATATTATATTCTCTTAGTCTCAAAGAAAAATATTTTTTTTATTATTTTCGTCTATTTTATTCAAAAGTATTTTTTTTTTAAGAAAATTTTTTATACACTAATACCAAAATATCTTTTAATTTTTATTTAAATTACAAACATACTATTATACATGCAATTACTTTATCCATAAAATCAAAAGCTACAAATGCGAAAACATCTTACACACTTCCTCAGGTCACCTGCCAGGTTCGCCTAGTATAACTTATCCGTCGGACCTAATTTGCAGGATATTAGGTTCGACCGGAGGTTTACTCAATGCGCACTTTCGGGTAGCGGCTGTGGATTCTCACGTCATAAAATAAATAAATAAATAAAATAAAATATTATTTTTAAATCTACTATTAAATCCCAGAAGGCCGATTTGGACGGAGAGAGTATCAAATATTTAATTACTATTTATTGTTTTTTATTATTGTTAAAATGTACTGTTGTATAGATATGTATTATCAATTATTTATCATATGATAATTAAAGTTATTTTACACTATCGTTATATTCTTCCAACGCTATTTTTCAATTGCAATTCTCCAAAAAAAATAATAATAAATAAAAGATATTTTATACAAAAATTAAAAAAAAAAATCAAAACACTCGTTATAAAGAAAAAATAAAAAGATCATTTAAAAAACGTCAAATATTCACACTAAAATAATATATTTTATATTTTTTACATCAAAATTTATTTCATTAAAAAAGGTAGGAAAAGATCATATTTTTATTTATATTAGCAAAAGCCCATTAATTTATAATACTCAATTCCTCAATTAAATATACACTGAATAATATGAAAATATTTCTAGCTTCAATACATTAATAATTTTGAACATTATTAATATGATATTTTATAGAAACCTTACCATCTTACACCTGTGTATAATAAAAAAGACCACAAGTAACAAACTTAAAATTTTATATTTTTTTCGTTCGTCAAAATTATCTCACTATTTTTTATTTGTTTGTATGTTAAACTTATGTACAATTTATTTATAGAAAATAATTTTATCCATCTACAATTTTATTATTCTTACTTTAACAAATAATAATCAATTTTTTACCATTTTTTTACTTACCCTACTACTTCTTTTTTTTTTTTCTATCGAATAGTAATAAACTGGCTATAATACTTCTATTTTACTTTTTATTTACCTCAAAATATCATCATTTTTTAATATTTGTGTCCAATCAAACTCACGTAATTATATTTTATCAACCGGAAAGAGTATATCATTGAATTGATATAAATATGAATGATATAATAAAATTTATACGACATTATTTTTTATATTTATAAAAGTGAACGTGTATAGATACATGCATTAATTTCTTAGGATGAATCAGCATCAAATAGGATCTTAATCAGCATCATCATGTTAGGTTGACTCTTTATATATATATATATATATAATTAAATAATTAAAATAATTAAATGGATATTATATTTTATAGAGAATAAAGAAAAAAAGAAAAAAAGAAAAAAAGAAAAAAACTGAAACTAATTTTCAAAAGAACCGAACCATAAATTGTGTGTTACAAGCGTTTCAAAAATAATAATAATAATAATAATAATAATAAAATTGTGTATTACATATTAAATTTTAGTTCATAATTGTATGATGAACCATACGTTTGTTTGGGAGTTTGGATTTTGAGTTGGGATTTGAATAATAAAAATTTTAAATTTGAATAGTTGTATGATGTGATATAAATGAGTTTTGATGTGATGTTTTGAATGTAAAATTGATTTTTAGTATAATATAAAAAATAAAAAATAAGTATTTGATGTGATATTTTTTAAGAAAAAAAATTGGATGAATAGTGGATTGGAAATCCAATCCCCCAAACAAACACACCCCGAATGCTATAAAATATTAGCACATGACTAACTTGTCAATATAATAATATAATCAAAATAAAGTTTAATAGAATTGATTATACTATAAACTTATATTGGACGTATATATTTTATACGATAAGGAAAAAATGATGAATTCGATAAATATATATATATAAGGGTAAACTGATTTTTTAGTTCGGTATCTAATTCCCTTTATTATTTTAGAATTTTAAGTGGACCTAATTTGAAAATAGTCCCTTAACTAAAAGAATTTCACTAAAATGGTCATTCGGCGTAGGACTTGACACGTTGGCTTGTCGTTGCTGATGTGGCGCTGACATGTAATCGTCACGTCAGCGATACGTGAATTTGTTTTTTTCAAATATTTTGGTAAACTATTTATTTAGTCTTGTAATGACATCCTTTATCATTTTTAAGACTTTAAATGAATTATGTTTGAAATATCGGACTAAAAAAATAATTTACCATAACTATATATATATATAGTGACTATTGAACATTGGATTTAGATTATTATGTATTTGCATATAATTCATTTGTCCTAATATATTTTCTATTATTTCTATTAAAATGCCTATAATATTTACAATTTTTCTTAATTTATTCTCAATATTTTCTTTTTCTTTGCTTTTATCAATGCAATTTATATAAAATCACCATAAATAAAAAAGTAAGAGTAAAATGTTCAAAAATATTAACAAAATTATATTATCTAAACAGCCATATTGAAACAAAAAACACAGCCCTATAAATTGAAATGAGAACAACATAATACAAGTAATAAATTAATTAACCAAGGGGATTATCCTTTTTCATAAGATCAAAATATCCCCTAATGATGAATTACATTTAACGAATGCAACCAATCGATCGATGGATCAAGTGCACGAAGAAGAGACACAAGATGAAAGGAAAAAAAAAAAAAACCCTAAAATGAATCCAATGTGAATTCTTGATAATAAAAAATCGAAAAGTCGACTATGAAAAGCTCTACGCCGTAGTGTACTCTAAATGAAGAGTACTAAGATTTAATGATGTCTCGGGTCGGGTCCACCGGGGCTAACCCTAGTGAAGCGATACCCTTCTTCTTCAAGATCTCTTTTCTTGATGATATCTTTGATAATATTTTTAGACACTTCGATCAATCCACGATGTTGTTGGGAATACGCTATCGGTGGTGGAAGAGAACGCGATTCACAAAATGTAATCGACAAAATGGCGATTAGTAGTAAGCAAAACCCCGATGTTAGATGAGTCATCGATCGATGTTGCATGAAATGAACCTTCATTTATACAAACTTTTGAAATAGCATATAATGATATGTGAAACAATGTGATATATATATATATATAGAGAGAGAGAGAGAGAGAGGGAAGTCAAATTCATTTTTTGTTTTTTTAAATAAGAAGGTAAAGAAAATTAGTATACATATAGATTTCCACTAAGATCTTCAAGTGGAAAAGCAAAGCACTAAAAAATAAAATGAACACCACCTTGTAGTACTTTCTTTATCCGATATTAGTTTATTCATATATATATATACATATTATTGATTTGATCGAAGTCGATATATTCATTACATTTTCTAATAACTGTGGTTTCTAATTTTGTACAATTAATTTTTTTATTTTTAAAAAAATATGATATTCAATCCAAAATATTTTAATTATATTTTATACTTTTTTTTATTTATTTAACAACTTTTTTTTTTAAATCGAGTGGTATCATCATTATGGTAACTATTTGACCCTAAAGTGAGTTATCACTTATCACCTTACAATATATATATATATAATAATAATAATAATAATAATAATAATAGCCAACATCATGCATGCTTATCTAAATTAAAGATGAAGTACTTTTAGAGTTTTTGTTGTTGGAAATGGTTCGAAGAAATATTTTTTTATATATTGTATAAAAAATTGCTTAGATAATATAAAAACGAGTATGTATATTAATTTTTTTAAAAAATATGTTAATTTGTTTTTAAAAAAGAACACACCATTTTACTTTCTCCAAGAATATTTTGAATTAGCTATAAGTAATTTGAAAGTAAAAACATACGATAAAAAGAAAAAAATAAACGGAAAAAATAAAATAGTTTGTGTATTATTATTATTATTATTATTATTATTAGTTGGATGATATTTGTGTATGAAAAGCAAATGCTTAATTAATGTATATTATTTAAACTAATGAAATTAATCTACGAAAGATTGATGCTAAATATGAAGGGGTTTTAAATTTTGAGATTATTATTATTGTTGTTTATTTTGAGATTTTTATTATTTATTTATTTTTCAAAATATTATATTTAATAATTATCATATTATAAAATTTATTAAATTTAATTACCACTACAAGAAAATATCATTTTTGTAACGAGATTTTTTCGTCTTTAAATTCACTTTTTACGTCACTAATGATATTAGAGACGGAATTAATGATGGAATTACGTTAGCTACGTGATCTTTAAGGACGAAATTCCGTTACAAATATAATATTTTTTTGTAATGTACTTCATTATTTTAAATGTATAAAATATAAAATAAAACCTAAAATAAACAAACTCGAGTTAACTTGAAGATTTGTTTAATTTGTGTTTGAATTTGAATTTAAATAATATATTTAAATGATATTTTATAAATATATATATATTTTTTTATTACATAGTAAAAGAAATTATTTGGGTTTGAGTTACAAACCAAACATCACAAATTCAGGCATTCCATAATTATGTTAAATGATGCCTAATTGTATGTGATGTTTTGGACTTATTCCTAGCTTGGTCATTATTTATATTTGTTATTTTAATTACAATCGAATAAAAAGTATTATAAATTTGTCATTCAAATTTATGTTAATATATATATTTTTTTGTTTTATAAAACTTGTTTATTTTATAGTAAAAAATTATAGTATTTCATTTATGGTCCAAATCTATAAATACATATTTTTTGAATTGTCATGAAAAAAATATACTTTTATCTTTTTAGTAAAAAAATATATCAATTTTATGTGTGTGGTTCTACGACAGATTATCCCAGCAATCAAAGAAAAGTGGCAACCAATTTTTCTAAAAATATTTTCATTTAGCAAGAAAATGCCAAACCACAAATAAAGGAGGATGATGCAAACTTTGTTTATGTAACAACTAGCAATAGTTTCAACATTATTCTTATTTAGCAATCCTCTGATTCTTCTAACATGCATGTGAATGACTTAGGATGATTTCGAACAATTTAAAATTTAAAAAATAAATAAAAATAAAAATGCAAGAATGTCAACAACTTACTAGATGATGTCATTAGTTGACACCACAAAACTTGAACAAGGTATTTTTAAGTTTGCAAGCTTACATGATTAAAGTAATAAAATCGAAAGGAGAAAACTCATATAAGCTTTCAGATATTAAAAATATATATGTATATATATATAGTTTATGGAGGGTTGAAAATCTCCCAAATGAGCTAAATGTTCCCATGGATGTAGTGCATGAATGCATTCACTATTTAATTGAAAAGGATGAGGTAAAATGAATCGAAAGAGTTATAAGAGATCTAGGTTATTTGAACTAGGTAAATTTGCTGAAAATTTATCTACTTAATGTTTATACTTTAATAAACCTGTAAAAATACTAAAATGTATGTCTATAGTGTAAACATTTTTTTGTATATGATCAGTGAATACATATTTTTGTGGCATACTCTATATATGTATAATAAAATACAATGCACAATATGTTTGTTTTCACACTTTTAACTCAAATTAATGCTTAACAAATTGAGTTTTTAAATGAGAACATATTTGCTATAAGTATATGTATTAACATCCGAACCATAACAATGAACATCAACTAAACTCCAATCATAACATACCAGATAAATCGATCAAAATGAAGTATCAGAAAGAAAATAATTCAAATTCAAACTATAACACTTAAATAAGGTATAAACTATAATATACTCCAACTGAAACTCAAATTACACAAATCTTTGAGTAGATGTTGAATTAAATCTCACCAAAGTTCTCAAGAAGGACATGTTTGTAGGGACAATTAAAATAAAAAACTCGGTTGCTCCATATCCAACTCACGCTCATCCTTTGAATCAAGAACAAAGCCAAGTACGAACCAAGCATCATCACTTTCCATCAAAGATCTGGCGCCACCATCAAGCCATCATCCATTTCCGGCAAAGGTTGAAGATGTTAACCAGTTGTAGGCTTTTTTTCACCAAATCTATCACTGATATCAAAATTAAGCCCAAATTGAATGGTTTGTCCGTGTCCGGCTTCCAACCACCGTTTCTCTCAGTCGCATTCAAATGTTCTCCTGAAAATAGCCCTGTATCAACCTCTCCGGAAATTAAGACCAAAAGGAAATGACTGTCGGTTCCTGAAACACACAAAAGAGGAATAACCACAATTATGACAACAAGGATTGTCGGTGGGTTTAGGGAGGAGCGTCATACGCATAATTAGGGTGGAGCGACGACATCGGCGTTCGGCAGGGAGGAGTTTTCAAATCACACAGAGAGAACGAACAAGAATACGACAAGTGATTTAAGATTTTTGAATGAAATGGATGATAAAGGGTGGTTGGATATAGATAATGATTTTTATGAGCTTATTTATTTTAATATGTGCGGAAGGAAATAGAGAGAATGTGTGTTAATAATAGATTAATAATTTTAAAATATATTTCAAGTGTATAACTTTTTATCAAACAAAGAATGTGTTATGATACGATGTGATCGTACTAAAATGCAGGGGAGGACCTAGAGGGAGGTAAGGGGCCCTCTCCCTCTTCTATTTTGTTTGGTGATTTTTCATTTTCTAAAAAATAAAAATAGTGTAAAAACAATAAATGTAGTGAAAAAAATTAAAATTTTTGAAATAATAAAATGTTCTTTATAATGAAAATCATATTTATAATTTTAAAAATATAAAGTAAATATTTACAATATATAAATACTAAAGTTTTATAATTTGTTATCGTGGAATATTTTAAAATATAGTTATAAGACAAAATAAAAATTATGTGAAAATAAACACACATGTATCGTGTGTATATATATATATATGTATAAATAGACTTTATTATTTTGTAAATTTGAAAATTAGCTTCCTTTTCTTGACTTCTGGTTCCGCCCCGCTAAAATGGATAAATAAATATTATAGGTGGGGCCAATGAAATAATATTTTATTGGTTAGTGCTTAAGATGATTTTTATATATTTTTTTTCTTTGCACTAAAACTAATAGGTATTTAAATAGCAATTTATGATTACCTTTACTATAATAAAAATAAATATTTTTAGTAGAACAGACGAAAATGATTAAAAATATATATATATATATGAACATGAGTGTTTTTTTTCAAAAAACTTTAAATTTTATTATTTGAACCCCCATATATTTTTTATAAAAATATATTTCGATCGTCTATTCAAAATATTTATATTTACTTTTGATGCGAAGTTTAAAAGATCTTGTATTTAAATAGCTAGTTGATAACTACTTTTTTTACGTGTAAAATTATTTTGTCTTTATATTTAAATTTAATATACTAGTAGTGTTGGACATAGATCCAAAAGCACCTGAATGTGAAGGAGGCTCAAAGACAAAAATGGAGTCAGAGCTCTTTGGCTACGGAGCCGCCGAACAACAATGAAACTTCATGCCTTGGAGTCAAAGACTGCTACCTCCACAAAGTCGAAGGCAACAGCTTCCATTGGATTGTGGTGCTTTCACAGGGTCGAAAGCTGAATCCTCCATGGACCTTAGGGCAGCAACTCTTTAGACTATGACGTCTCCATCCCGGAACAATGTTTCCATAAGGTCAGAAATTGATGTCTTCATTGGGTTTGTAATATATTTTGGCCGGTGATTATTGAGGCCTAAAACACACACGACCAACCCGCCCAAATTGAAGCCCGGACCCGGCAACCCGCTACCCGACCCAAACCTTTGCGAGACTCATCGGTTCGCAGGCTGCCTTGCTGGACTGGTCTGAACCAATATGCTTTTGTTATATATATTGCTGGACCGTTCAAGTTGAACCGGTCTGATCTGATCTATATATATTGCTGGGTCCTTGAACCAGTTTTTAGAATATACGAGAACAAAACAGATCATCTTCTCACGTTTATTACATTTTCCCTTACCCCATGTTGACAAACGTGAATGCTCTAAAGATGTTTTAGAATATATACATTGTGATTTGTGGGGGCCCTTTTGTGAGTCTGCTTTTGGTGGTTCTAGATATTTTTTAACCATTGTTGATGATT